AAAAAAAAAAAAAAAGCATTTTCTCATCTTTAATTAAAGATACTCTAAAAAATTGTTTTGAACAAGTGTAGAATAGAATTGAAGAACAGAAACATCATAGAAACAGGCACATTTTAGAAAATATTTCATTTCCTAGTGGTCTTACAGAATTTATAATAAATTCCTCTTAATTAAGCATAGTTCTTTAATGTTGCAATTCTTATTACATAAATTACCTAGAGATCTGTAGTGTTCCAGTATAGTAAAGTCTTGTCTCCTCCCAGGCAGCTCAAGCTTATGAAAATCTTGTAGCAAAAGTCTTTTGCTTCCTGATGAGGTTGAGATATAATTAATAATGTGCTGGCTGACTGTTTTGGACACCATGCTTAGCATGCTGATATCCTTCACTATCAAAAGAAAAAAAAAATAGGAATAAATGGCTTAAATGCAAAAATGTCACTATTAGTATACTACATTAACATATAAGTTAATAATAATAAAGTGAAAAAAAGAGAAAAATCTTAATATTATTTTAAATTCATTTCTCAATGAATTAGAAATATGTTAAGCTATAACGATCAAGTTACCAAGTCATTATCATTAAAAGTATGTTTTAAAGAGTCTGAGTACTGTGGTCTCTCATTGTATCCCTTACCTGACAATGATGAAACTTTAGAAAAAAAAACCTTAATGTTAATGTCACTAACATTTTAGCAGGGCCTATAGTGACAAACTAGTTCTTGGGAAAAATTAAAATATTCTAGTGCTTTATGTAATCTATTCACAATTGTCAAACCTCACCTGACAAATATCTTAAAATTATTTGGAATATTTCCAATGGCAAAGCTTTAAAATTTCCAAGTGCTGATAAGGGATGAGAGTCTGAGCCAAGGGTGTTGGAAAAATAGCAGGATCGACGATTACTACGTCTACGTTTCTGGTTGGGAATCAAAGTGAAACTGGTATTTATTCTGGATGCCATCCTTGTTCTTATCTCATGAATTTTATCCTGGTTAAAAAAACAATGTGTAAGAAGGGAAATTAAAGAAATGTAGAGCTGGTTTTTGTTTGCTTTGTTTATTTATTTTTACTTATTTAAGATAGAGTCTCACTCTGTTGCCAGGGATGGAGTATAAGTGGCATGATCATAGCTCACTGTAACTTCAAATTCCTGGGCTCAAGTGATCCTCCTGCCTCAGCCTCCCAAAACACTGGGATTACAGGCATGAACCACCAAGTCCAGCTTATTCATTTTTAATGAAGAGGTTGATACTATTATGGGCAAAGCACAATAGCTGTCTCTCCATATTTACATAAGTTTTAATATGATGTCCAACTTAACGGAGTTCCCACCAATAGAGTCTTATTTATTTATTTATTTATTTTTTAGACAGAGCCTCAAGCTATCCTCCTGGATAGAGTGCCATGGCATCACAGCTCACAGCAACCTTCAACTCCTGGGCTAAAGCGAGTCTCCTGCCTCAGCCTCCCAATAGCTGGGACCACAGGCGCCCACCACAACGCCCGGCCATTTTTTGGTTGTAGCCATCATTGTTGTTTGGCGGGTCCGGGCTGGGGATTCGAACCCATCATCTTAGGTGTATGTGGCTGGCGCCTTAGCCGGTTGAGCCACGGGCACCAAGCTGAGTCTTATTTATTCATCTCAGCATCATTTGAAAAATTTTAAAATCCTTTATCTCTTGGCCAAATAGTCTAGATAAAGAGTTCTAACAGGAAATAAGGCATGTATTGGGATGAGATACATTCTAAGAAAAGAAAAATGCAAAACAGAAAAAAATAAAAGATTTAACACAAAAATAAAAATAATATGAAATATTGGATAATACCTGTGAATGAGTATGAGTTACTTTTACACTCTTTAGTTTCTTTCTTTTTTTTTTTTTGAGACAGGAGCCTCAAGCTGTTCCCCTGGGTAGAGTGCTGTGGCATCACAGCTCACAGCAACCTCCAACTCCTGGGCTCAAGCGAGTCTCCTGCCTCAGCCTCCCAAGTAGCTGGGACCATAGGTGCCCACCACAATGCTGGGCTATTTTTGGGTTACAGCTGTCATTGTTGTTTTTGGCAGGCCGGGCTGGATTTGAACCCACCACCTTGGGTATACGTGGGTGGCACCTTAGCCACATGAGCCACAGGTGCCAAACCTACACTCTTTAGTTTCTAAAAATCAAGGCATTAATGTAGATTTTAAAATTCATAGTAATGTTTTTCTATTTCTTTCTTTTTTCTTTTTTTTTTGAGACAGAATCTCATTATATTGGTATAGTGCTGTGACATCATAGATCACAGCAACCTCAAACTCTTGGGCTTAAGCGAGTCTCTTGCCTCAGCCTCCCAAGTAGCTTGGACTACAGGCGCCTACCACAATGTTTTTCTGTTTCTTAAAAACTGAGTATTGACATGTTCTTTTGTTTGAAACGATAAAAACAAAGAGATAAAAAATAGAGACTTTAAGTTTAGAGTAATTTAAATACGCTAGCTCTAATAGATCAAGTAGGTTATATTATTATTATCAATCATGTGCTGTATAATATACAACTAAACAGTGAAATTAAAGTCTTATAAAATAGGGTGATGCCTGTGGCTCAGTGAGTAGGGTGCTGGCCCCATATACCGAGGGCGGCGGGTTTGAACCTGGCTCTGGCCAAACTGCAACAAAAAATAGCCAGGCACTATGGTGGGTGTCAGTAGTCCCAGCCACTTGGTAGGCTGAGGAAAGAGAATCACCTAAGCCCAAGAGCTGGAGGTTGCTGTGAGCTGTGATGACACTGTACTCTACAGAGGGCGACAAAGTGAGAGCTGTCTCTAAAAAAAAAAAAATGTGTTTTAAAATTATAAAATTAATAAGACTAGACTAAATAGATGAATGGTAATACTTCATTCCTCAATTCTACTTTTTGTTAATAATAGTGACTAATATGTCTCAACTTGATTTCAAAAACGAAAGGAAACTTATAAAATATAACTTATTCAAATCACAGATTTACTTCTACTAAATAATAATTCTTAAAAATATATGTCACACACAGTGATGCTATATCACTTTATTGCTTCAGTTCAGAAAATATCTTTTATGTCTATATACATATATACCCACACACATATACCAGAGGTGCCAAAAAAATTTATATACATTTTAAGAGAACTTGTTGAAAGTAAAATTGGTCATTCCCCAAATATGTATGACTTGCAGGTAAAATGGATGCGTGTAGCATACCTAGGTACACTTGACTAGTAACAGTACTTTTTCTTTTTCTTTTGAGACAGAGTCAGCTATGTCACACTTGGTAGAGTGCCCTGGCGTCACAGCCCACAGCAACCTCAAACTCTTGGGCTTAAGTGATTCTCTTGCCTCAGCCTCCCAAGTAGCTGGGACTACAGGTGCCC